ATCCCCCGCTGCTCCCGCGGGGGCATCCCGCCCCTCAGGCTGTTCATCGGGCCCTTCTTCCGCGCCAGGGACACCTTCAGCTTGCTGCCCTGGAAATCCTTCCCTGCCAGGGACACAACGGCAGCAGCATGGGTGAATCCTGGTTCACACACCTGCGCCCAGGTGCTCCCCACACTTGGGGGAGATTCTGGAATTCCACCCCAGAACGCCCCCAGCACTCACCATCGAACCATTCCACGGCAGTTTTGGCAGTGGACGGGTCATCGTAGGACACGGTGGCATCGCCCTTGGGCTTGCCTGTTTCCTTGTCGATGTACAGGTTTATCATGGGCTGCCCCGTCCTCTTGTTCATCTAAGGGACAGTGCAATGTCACCCCAGGCCTGTCCCCCACAGCCCAGCTGGGATTCACTGTTCCACTCTGTCCCTCATTCCAGGGACTCCAGGACAGAAGAAAGGGGCCCCAGGCCTACCATGGATGACAGCAACTGCCCCAAAAAATGAAGGGACAGGCCCTAAACAGCCCTGCCAGGCCTTTCCCAGAGCCTGGACATGATGGGTCAGAAGGATGTGAGCCATGGGCAGGGAGGAGGAGGAGGAAGAGGAGGAGGTGGGTGACCCTTTTCTCTCTGCCAGCACGGGGTCACTGGCGTCCCCTCACCTTGACAACACCGCACTGTTTGAAGAAATCTGCCAGATCCTCCAGGGTCACATTATCATTGAGTCCCTGCACATAGACTGCAGTGCTGTCCGAGTCCTCCTCCGGGTCCATAGGGGGGCCTAGGAGACAATTCCCGGGGTCAGAGGAAGGGCAGGGATACCCCAGGGCCGAGCTCTTTCCATCCCCCTCATCCCCTGCAGGGCTGCAGCTGTGCTCTCTGAGTGACAGCAAACCCCAGGCCTGGGGGAGGGCACTGTCCCCACCTCACCTCCCACAGAGCCCACGCCCACCCACGCGGGCAGAACCCCCGGGTTATTTCAGGACACATCCCAGAGGAGAGATGAGGAAGACCTTGGTGCCCCCTGGGCTCCCACACAAGGACATCCACCCCCCTTTTCCGATGCTGGAAGGCTGACGCACAGCTTCCAGACACGCCTGTGGGACAGGAAGGGACAAGCCAAGGACGAGGCTCTGGGGGTGCTGCAGGCTCCCTGCAAGAGCTCCAGAGCAGCCCCCAACCCCTGAATGCCTGCAGAGAAGGGGGAGCAGCTCCCAACCACATCTGGTGGTTTTCCAGCTGTTTGGGAATGAAGAAACGATGGAAGAGCCAGAAAGGCTGGAAGAGGCGGGGAGGTGACACTGCAGTGGCCGCAGCCCTTGCAGTGAGGACACAAACGTCGGTTCCACAACCTCGGGAGGGAATTTGGTGGGAATTACCTAAATCCAGCTCGGGTCCTTCCTCCATGTGTCCTGCCAGGCGGGAGAGAAGCACAGGGAAGGGTGTTAGTGGGGGCCCTGCGGGCTGGAGAACCGACACACACAACACTAGCTACGACCTGCGCCGCACAAGAGCAGCACTGCACCTTACTGGGCCATCAGGTGGCTCTTTTAGCACTTCTTCCAACCAAAAACCACTATTACACTGGTTTTAAGCATTTCTTCCAACCAATAACCACTATTACACTGATTTTTTTAGCAGCTTTCAAACCGTTAACCACTATTACACTGATTTCTTTTTTTTTTAGCAGGTTTCAAACCGTTAACCACTATTAACACTGATTTTTTTAAAAGGTTTTACCAAGCCAATCAGTTTTTAAGTTCATTAATAAAAGTTACTTAATATATCTATATATATTAAAAAAAAAAAAAGATTTATTACATCCAAACCATTTCTTTTCCCCAAAATTACAGGAGTGGTTGCTCAACTCTTCCACTGTGTCCGCATACCCCTGGGCATCGCCGGCAGTACCCATTACAGTCTGGTTGCATATTGTCATTTTTTTAAACCACTTTAACGAATAAAAAAATTACACTTTGTGCTAAAAAAAAAAAACTTGACTGCAATTTTTTTTTTTTTTTTTTTTAACACTATCCATTGTAATGCTCAAAAACTTACCACCAGGCTTATTGAAGCCACCTCGCTCTCCAGCGCTGCTGGGGGGATAAACGAAGAAATGAAGGCCTTTCCCTTTACAAAGCCAGCACCGCTCTGAGCCTCTGCGGCTCACAGGGGAGAAGGGCACTGGCTAAACATCTCCAAACATCTCTCTGTCTCTCTCTCATCTCGGCACTAGGCCTTTCTTCAGGGCAGCTCGCTCAAATTTTCTTTACATATAAAGCAACCTTGGTGTGGTTTGAGGCACCGCTTTGCTGTCGGTGCCCTGCCGTTGTTACTCGGGTATCATCAGTGCAATACTTGGCTGAGAAACGGGGGTTGTTTGTAATCAAAATGGGTTGTATTTTTGGTGGTGTTGTTTTGAAGAGCAATTTGGGGGTGTTTCAGTGGTCAACTCCCTCCCCTCGGTGTGTCCACCAAGGTGCACCCTCAGCCTGCGGCAGCGCGGGCCCGCGGGTCCCTGACATTTAACAGTGCAAAAGGAGACAAACCACACGCGAGACCTACACACAGTTCAGCTGACATCGCCCCTGAAACCCTCAAAATAAAGCCATACATTCAGGTCACTACTGAATTTAACAACTCTCTGGAGGGAGAACTTACAGAGTACAGCGGGGGCTCCAAGGCCTGGGGTGCAGCTTTGTGGACACACTCACTTTTGGGCGGGTGCCAATGCAAACAGGGCCGCAGCTTTCACCAAAAGCTTTGGCTGAAGCATTCACAGCTAAAACTGCTTTGGAGCGTGGTGGTGAAGTAGGAAAATGCCACCTTTAGAAAGGATTTGGGCTGCTTCTTGCTCTTTTTTTGGGTGAGCCAGCAAGCTGTTTGGAAGGAGCCGAGCGGAGGAGGGAGAGCACCGTGAATTTTTCTAGCAAGTATTGCACCTCTAATACTGGGAAAAAAAAAAGTCAATACAGAATTTCGAGCTGTTGCATGCAGCTTTGCCTCCTCTCGTTAAAGTACACACCATTTACGTAACGTCTCTCTTTTTAAACATAAGATTTTTACACTTTTTTTTTTTTTTCTTTAACGTTACACAATTCTAAAGTAGTAGTATACCCTCCTCTGGTTTTATTACCAAACAACAAGTATGCAGTTACCAAAGTTACAGAAGGATTCCGTTTATACAATCAATACATTGGGTTAAAAATATTCTATGTATATTTTTCCTCTCCATATGGACACCGTGTCTAGTCCCACTTTTCATTATGCTGCCGGCTGAGTACTGAGTACGGGTACTTTTTAAGTATTGAGGTGTTTACAAGGCTCTCACTTTGTAACCTGTAGCATATAAATGCGACAAAGCATGTTAAAAAGTTTTCCATTTTCATAAAAATATCAAATCATCGAGGCAATGAAAAAGGGCATGTTAATAACATCGAGCTCCTTACCTGCTGGAGACACTGAAATCCATCACCACAGCATGCTAAGGTGGGCCGAGTTCCCCTACCTGCCCTGGGTGTCCCCTGAAGCCACCTGTTCTATGGACATCACAAACTCTACGTCCATAAGGCTGGGGCAGGGGGGGACCCTTTGTAAGGGTCTGGCCAGGTGGGAAATCACTCAGGAGGCAAATTTGAGCTGGGATTAAGGTGTGAGATCAGAGACAGGTGACAAATCTTTGGCAATGAGAAGCTTGGAAGGGGCTAGAAATTTGAAGATGTGATGATAGACATTTCAGGTGTCTACATCTACTTTCATTGTTAAGAGATCAATACAGCACGGCTGAAATCTTTATGCAGATCCCTGGAACTCTGTTCCACCCGTGCCAATTGCAAGCTGGATGTGTTCCCACACAAACCAGCCCTTTCCATTCTTTCTTGGATTTCTCTGATAAAGATTTCATGCCACGTCAATGGGCAGCAACAGAGCTGTGCAGAACGGGGCCACCCACTGCCAAACTGGGGCTGTGCCACATGGAAAGAAGCGGCCTCTGGAGGGCAGCTGCCATCACAGCCCCCCTGCCAGCACCAGGGTGGGCACAGCGTGTCCTGTGCCACACCTGGGCACACTCTGCATAGCTCTGAGCACCGCGGTGAGGGCATGGAACACACACAAAGCTGTGAATTCTCTCTTGGAGGAGCCCTTGGGATTGGTTCTCCTCCCTCGCCTCCATCACAACGACCTCCACGCATGGGGACACACCTGAAGGCACAGGTGCCACCAAACCAGGTTGTGCCATCAGGTGAAATGGCCAAACTGGTTCAGAGCACCTGAATGCTCCGAGGGGGAGCAGGCCTGGGAGCCAAAGCACTTCCTTCTCTCTGTCCTCGGGCTCCTTCTCCACGCGGCACTCCGAGCTCGCAGGCTCTGCAGGAGGAGGCTGACCCGAGGCTCCTGCCCTGCCAAAATCCCGCTCCTGAGGCCCGGGGAGCACCCCCTGGAGCTGCTGCGAGGTTTGTGTGTGTTCCACCCAGAGTTACTGTTAAACCCCACAGAGGACTCCACCTCTGGGCGACCATGAAGGGAGCTGAAAGTGCCAGGGCCAGCATCACCCCCAGTTTCCCCCTCCCTGGGGGCCCAACCAGCTGCAGGACAAACCAACCATCCTGCTCCTATTTCCCTTAGGATAATGTTTCCATGGATGACAAGCAATGCTGCTACACACACACATGTCCTCCATGGAAACACAGCTGGGTACGTCAACCTTTCAGTCCCTTCTTTTTGAGTTTCAAATCCTATGGGTAAACCAGAATTAGAGAAAAGGAGAAAAGCTTTGCTCTTACCCCATTCCACCGCGTCCTCCTCCCCGCCCACCTCTGCTCATGCCTCCTCCTCGCTCATATCCCCCTCGTCCCCTGCCCCGGCTCTCGGGGCCGCTCAGGTTCCGGCTCTCCCCGGGGCCGGAGAAGCCTCCGGATTCCTGCCCGTACATGTTCATGCTGCTGGGATGGTCCTGGCGGAACGAGCCTGGGGAAGGGGGCAAACAGGTCAGGGACAGGCAGCCCCTTCACCTGCCCTCAGCTCCAGCCAAACTGAGTTGTTCAGTTTGGGAAAATCCCCCTGAGGGTGTTGATTTCAGCTGTTCCCCCAGCCAAGGCCATCACTGCGCCGTGTCCCCAAGTGCCACATCCACAGGGCTGTTAAATCCCTCCAAGGATGGGATCCACTGCCCAGGGCCTGACCAACATGAAGAAATGTTCCAAATATCCACCCTGGCCCAGCCTGAGGCTGTTCCTTCTTATCCTGTCCCTGTTCCCTGGGAGCAGAGCCTGACCCAACCACTCCTGCCTCCTTCTGCTCTGTGCAGAGGCACAAGGTCCCCCCTGAGCCTCCTTTTCTCCAGCTGAGCCCCCTCAACTCCCCACAAACACCAATGCCCCAGTCTGAGGCCGTTCCCTCTCATCCTGTCCCCGTTCCCTGGGAGCAGAGCCTGACCTAACCATTCCTAACCCCGCCTGCTCTGTGCAGAGGCACAAGGTCCCTCTTGAGCCTCCTTTTCTCCAGGCTGAGCCCCCTCAACTCCCCACAAACACCAATGCCCCAGTCTGAGGCCGTTCCCTCTCATCCTGTCCCTGTTCCCTGGGAGCAGAGCCTGACCCAACCACTCCTGCCTCCTTCTGCCCTGAGCAGAGCCACGAGGTCTCCCTGAGCCTCCTTTTCTCCAGGCTGAGCCCCCTCAACTCCCCACAAACACTTTGTGCCTCCCTGTTCCCTTTCCCCTGAGGTGAGGAACCCTCCCTTTCCCCACCCCAACCCACCACTGCCTCCAGAGATGCCATTTTTCACCAACAAAGGCCAAACTCCAGCTCCAACCCCCTCTCCCTTCAAGCCAGCTCTGAGTTTTGGATCCAAACTAAGGCCAGGGCTGCCACTCACTCTGCTGGCCGTAGCTGCTGCTCTGCTGGCTGTACTGGCTGGGGGCCTGGCTGTAGGATCCAGTGGGAGGTGGGTAACTGGTGGGAGGTGGCTGCTGGCCATAGCTGCTCTGCTGCCCATAACTGGTCTGCTGGCCATAGGAGCTCTGCTGCCCGTAGCTGCTCTGCTGGGAGTAAGTGCTCTGATCGTAACTGCTTGGCTGTGTGGAGGAATAGCTGCAAGAGAAAAACGTTGGGAAAGGTGGGATGGTGAGGCAATTCCCTGGCAGAGCGCATGGAATGGCTCATGCTGGAAGAAAATGCAATTAGAGGCTGTATTTAGTGCTGTAAATCACTTTAAAAGCTGAAGTCATCCTATGGAGGCCAGACTAAAGGGCTGTGAAAACAAAAACCATGTGGCCAATCCCAGTTTATTCACATCTCTAGGAAAAGGAACAAGTGCCAGGGCAAAACTCAGTGGAAATGGAGGTAACAGGCCCTGGATAAAAGAAGCTCCTCTCATGCAGCCGGGGCTTTGAGAATTTCAAAGTGTATGTTTTAGATGTCACATTAAAGACACCTGAAGGTAGAAAGGGAGCTCCTGGGCTAAGCTGTATGTGGAAGGAGACAGCAAAAGGTAACGCTAGGAAAACTCTTAAAATCCTTAAAATCCTCAAGTATTAAAAAAAAAAAAAAAAAAAAAAAGTAGAAAATGCCTTAAACCCATTTGTCATCATTCTCCTTCTCAGATGTGCACTCAGCCACAGCCTCCCCATCCCCACCACAACAACTCCAAGAAGCACAGCTCCTCCTCCCAGGCCACCAAAGCTCCTTTTCCATCAAATCCCCGCAGGAAGGCCCCCAGGCTGAGCAGTGCATTACCTGGTTGGAGGGTAGGAGGGTGGAGCAGTGACAGGCTGCATGGGGTAGCTGGCAGGCACCTGGGGGTAGCTGTAGTTGCTCTGCCCGTAGCCCAGGCTGGGCTGGCTGTAGCCTGTCGTGCTGGACTGAGGCTGGCTGGTCTCTGCTGGTTTGCTGCCATCCTGGGGTCTGGGGAGAAACAGGGAACAGCATTGGTGCCCAGCCCCACAGCTGGCAGCAGCAAAGGGCTCAGAGCCCCCAGCACTGAGGGCTGGGAGCTCGTTTTTGGGGTAGCATTAAAGCTGGCCTTGATTGGTGACAGGTAATAAACAGGTGATAAACACAATTTCAGCACTCACTGCCAGGGTGCCTGCACACTCCAGGAAAGGCCCAGGCAGTGCCCTGGACAGAGAGCATGGAACAGCACAGCTCCTGTCCATCCCAAAGGGGCTCAGAGCTGGGCTGTGGGGCTGAGGGAGGGTGTGCAATGGCAGCAAGGCTCTCCTGCAGAGCCCTGGGCAAGCAGGAGCTGAAGCAGGAGCTGAAGCAGGAGCTGAAATGCCCCATTGTGTGGTTCAGAATCCAGCTCAGGCAGATATTGCCTCATACACGTTATCCCCAATGATCCCATGGAAAAGAAAGGATGCTGGGCTTGGGCTGGGTGACCTTTAAAGGTCCCCTCCAACCCAAACCACTCACAATTGTGTGTTTAGAATTAACTCTCAAGGCCTGAAATTTGAGAACCCTTTGCATGTGATTCACACATCCCCTTCTGTTTGCCCCAAAGTTTAAAAGCCATGTGAATGTGGCACTTGGGGAGAGGATTGGTGGTGGCCTCCATGATCTCAGAGGGCTTTTCTAACTCCAAGGATTCTATGAGTCTTTAATTTCTATTTGTTTCTCAGAGTGGAGCTGCTTTTGCTGTAGAAGCTGGGAAAAAATTACACAGTGTCAGGATTCACCCAGCAAATTTACATTCCTTTAAAGTATAACCTGTCAGAGCTGTGCCAGGCCCTGCCTCTCCTTCCCACAGGGCTTGCTACACACACCAGGTAAGGGAATAAATCAGCTTTTACTCACTGCCAAACAAGTTTCCATTATGTATTCTAAACTTTCCATATCCTCTGAGCAAACAATTGCACTCAATAGCTGACAGGCCGTGCCCAGAGGGGTGAGACTTAAAGAGGAAATGTTTTGCAGCCTGTGCATCCACCCAGCATCCTGCCTGAGCCCGGCACTCACAGCAGGCAGGACTCAGCTCTGCTGCAGCCTCAGAGCCCAGAGCCTGCTGTGGCTGCCTGGGGCTGATGGGGGAGAAACGGGACGAGGAGGAGGAGGAGAAGGAGGAAGAGAAGGGCAATGAGGAGGAGGGGAAGGAAGAAGAGAAGGAGTGACTAGAGATGGAGAAGAAGGAGAAGAAACAAGAGGAGGAAAAGACAGAAGAAGAAGAGAAGGAGGAGGAAGAGGAGTAATGGGAGATGGAGAAGGAAGAGAAGGAGGAGGAATAGGAGGAACAAGAGGAGGAGAAGAAGGGAGGAGAAAGAGGAGGAGGAAGAGGAGGATGAGGAGGGGGTGGAGGAGAAGGATGAGGAGAAAAGGGTGAAGAACAAGAGAAAGAAAAGGAGGAGGAACAAGAGGAAGAGAAGGAGGAAGAAGAGAAGGAGGAGGAGGAAGAAGAGAAGAAGGAAGAAGAAAAGGAAAAGGAGGAGGAAGAAGAGACAGAGGAGAAGAAGAAGGAAAAGAAGGAGAAGGAGGAAGAAGGAAGAGGAGGATGATGAGGATGGTAATGATGAGGAGGATGATGATGGGGAAGGGGTGGAGAAGAAGGATGATGAGAAGAAGGAGGAAGAAGAGAAGGAAAAGGACGAGGAAGAAAAG